TTCCCCCACCACACAACTTTGCTTTACCTGCCCAAACTCCTGAAGAATTATTTATCACTTGAAATTCAGCTGCCTAGTTAGGATATGATTCTGTGCAGAGCACTTGTAGCATATTTTCCTAAAAGATGGGAGTTCCTCCAATTTGCAGATTTGTTTTTTTCTTTTTCAGTGAAATGACATTTCTTCATTTTTGCAAAACTATATTCTGTTTCAATGTACTAGAGTATCAACTTCAGAACCATAATCTTTTTGCTACATTGTCTATCTTTCTTATTTACTGACTTCTCTTGAATTGCTTTAATTCCATTTCCTTTTTTCATCCCCTCTGATTGTCTCAAGCCTTTCCTCTTTGTTGCTGAGAGATTTTCACTGGTGTTATTGTTTTCTGCTATTTCTAATGAATATTTTTGTTCTACAATTACGTTGCCTTTTTCATTCTCAATTTGTTTCCCTTGATCTAAAATATTCTTTTTCATCTCATTTTATTGTTGTACCTTTAAACTCTTGTTCTATGGAATTTTTTTTCTTATGAAGGTTCTCTATTTGTGGGGAGCAATTATTAGACAATTTCATGGATTCAGTGAATTGATGTTTCTTCTTATGGAATCTCTAAGAGTAGCTGGGGAAACATATTTCATTGCAAAGAGCTATGGATCATTTTCCCAATGTAGAGTGTTGCTCTGAAGACTTCATTCTTCCAGAAGGCAGCGTTTTTCTACCATTTCACTAGTTTTTCCTCCATAATCCTTTCTACTATTCCTCAGGGACAAGACACAATATGAACAACAGCTGACGATATCCATTAAGTTTGCTTCTTGCCAGATCTGGTAATGGGAGTAAGAATTTTCAGTAAGTTGTCATCTTGTTGGTAAAATTCTAAGGCAGCCCAGTAGTCAAGTCCTGTTTGGTCTCTCTATTTTGATCAAAGTCTCTGCTTCCACTTCATCCTTGACTATTAGTTGCTGAGGAATATTGCATTAGGTCCTATCATTTTCTTGCTCAGTTTTGCTGAAAATGTGTGTGTGCGTGTGTCTGTGAGAGAGAGGAGGGGGGGTGTTTGCTAGCTTATACTATTTTAGGATCACTTCATTATCTATCAGTGGTGAGAAATTATGTGGTACATTTTCAGCTTATCTCTGAAATTAAAATCACCATTTTAAAATTCAGAATTTGGGTTTACTCTAGTCTTCTGAAGGGTTTTATTGAACTTTGTTACCTAATGGATGTAGCAACGATTATGCCACCTGGGTCATGCATAGAAATATAAAAACTCATTCTTGGCCCCATTCTCATTGAGCCTATTTATAACTAGCTTATTGATCACTACCTATCAAATATTCAAACAGCCCTGTAAGTGAAGATAACCTGAGTTAGAGAATAGCAAAACAGTAATTATGGGGAATACCAGAAATAATTCTTGACATGACAGGAGCATTTCACAGACTTACATTTTCATAATTAGATTCTGCTTTCCAAGTAGACGTAAATGACTACTGAATCTAAAATGTTTCTTCTCCCTAGACAATACACACCAAGGAAAAAAAGGATCCTGAAAGGGTAAGACACATTTTCCATAAAAGAAATGCAGAATTTAGATTTAAATGTTTTTTCTTTCATATTCTAAAATAAGAATACATAGTGAAAATAAGAATTTTCCTCACTATAAATGTATTTTTACATTCACTCTGTACAAACTCTAAGAAATTATTTCATGATAATCATCCCAATATTGTCCAGAGAGGTCCTCTGTCCAATGTGTTAAGCAGCATGCCTGGCTCCAGGAGACACCCCGAATTCTGTCAGCTACTGTGGAGTGACCTGAGTCAATATTTGCACACGTTGCAGTTTCTGCCACAGTTATCACTTACGTTGGCCCACACAAGCCACAAAAGTGGAGATTGACCTGGCGAAATGTGCCACTCATAACTGAATTCCAAGACTACGTAGATTTTTAACTAAGACAATAGTGGACTACACTGTAGAAGCTAGTTCCACCTTAGATGTCTAGCCTAGCTGGTCAATGTTAGGAAAAATGGAATGATACGAAACACTTGTAGTTCAACAATATATAAAGAGCTCTGAAGAAAAACCATTTATGTAAATGCATAGTATCCAATATATCTAAAATAACAAATGAGAACTCTAAAACAATAGTTCACAACACAGCAAAGCTTTTCTGAACAGTTCCAAGAAATCGGCCATTGGTGTTCCACCATTCAATTCCATATTCTGCAACTTCTTTGCCTTTAATTATTATGGAACGAGGCATTTAACAAAACACACACGCACACACATACACAGGCACTAACTACTCTGATTTAGTCACAATTTATTCAAGGAAACGATTTAATTCTTATTAGACCAGGGAAACCCAAAAAGTGCTGATGTATAAGATAACTAAAAAAAACTTATTATCCAAACAAAAAATAATTTTCCCATGTGACATAAAAATCTAATTCATCTAGGGCATGGTAAGGAAGAGCTAGGTACCCAAGTTCATTCACTAAAAATAGTAAAATAATAGTACACACTTGAATGACATGTTATTGCATTTGAACTTCACTTAAGTACCAAGCAATAAGCAGGAGGACATCATTCTTTGTCAGTTAACAGATGAACAAAGCAGTTACATAACTGGCTGGCAGCAGAGCTCTTGCTATGACCCCAAGCTCTTGACACCTAGAACAGTGCTCTCTCTGCCACGCTGCGCTGCCACCATAGATCTTTTCTCTCTTTCAGATCCAAAGACTCCATCCATTTCTAAGTCTGTCTACCACACTCATACCACTGGTCCAAAGGAATGGAACAGGATTTGTACCTAAATTAAGACAACCGCACCCCTAATCTAGCAATTAACTTCAAGTGGTGACCCTACTTAAATGGTTCAGCACCATCGCCATCACTTCCCCCTACCCTTACAGCAGGGATACTTAGTTTGCAGCACATGATAATTGTCTGGAACATGGCTCTTTCCCATACCAATTAAATCAGAAACTCTGAAGGTGGAACTCAGACACCAGTTTTTGTAAAAGACTCCTGGTGACTCCAAGTTTGAGAGCCAGTGCCTCAGGGTTACACAATAAGGACTGAGGGATTAAACGTAAGCACTTCTTATATTACACAAAATCAAATGTTACACAACATGGTAGGAAGGATGTGAACGCTTTTATTTCTCAACTTTTAAAAATAAATAGAACTTAGAGTTTCCTTATTCATACCAGCCAGGTTTTGGAGTTGCTGTCAATCGACATCAATTTTCATTCAGTAGCTACTATTGCCTAAATGTTGCTTCCTGTAACCCAGATAGTCTCAAGCACTTCCCTGCTTGAAAACATTGTTGCTTTGTATAAAAATCATTAAATGTCAGGAAAACGACAATTAAATGAAGTCGAAGTGAAGTTACATACAATTATCAAAAACACTGAGAAACAGTGAAACTTGCAAACACCTGTAGCAAGATCCAACATCAGCTTGGAACTCAGAGCTTTGTTTCTACCAAATGAAAGAAAGATTAAACTTGTAACACAGAGGTGAGAGGCCCAAAAGGATCAAGTGTAGTACTGAGTAGATATCTAGAATAGTTATTTCAAAAGAGTGCATCCATATTCAAAAAACAAAATGCTAAGTGACCAGTTTGATCAGAGATACACCAGCAGACCCCCTCCTCGAGCTCTTGTGAACTTTACATCCAAGAAGATAATAAACTGCACTGAAATTCTGGTCCAGTTGCTTTAGATAAGCAGACACTATGAATTCATATAATTTCTGTCACTTAAGAGTAAACACAACAAAATTACGCACTTAAGAGTAAACACAGCAAATTACATGATTCCATGAAAAAACTGGGTCAACAGAAGGATCTTAAACTCATCCTAAACCAACCAAGGTTTAAAGAAAATCTGCTTCAGAGATCTGTAGATAGCAAGGTGTTATCACGAAACAGACATCATGCCAACCTGTGGAATATTTCTTTCACATCTAGCTGCATCAACATAAATGCTCTTTTATGTTGCATTCTTATCATGGAAATCTAGGAGGTCATCTACAATTAGGATTAAACCCATATAGAAACTTAGAAGATGTAACGGGAAACTTTAAGCCAATTTAGATAGAAGCATTCAGAAAAGGACCAAAACAGAAAGTCCCCCAAGCTTTATGAACTAGCTATTGGAAATGAATATGAAAAGAAACAATTACAAAGAGGTGATATTTGCCTGGAGAGACTGCTCTTCAGCAAACAGAAAGTGATAAAGCTGACAAGCTTCATCTCCCATCAGCACAACTCCTTGTAGGCACAAGCACATACAGGGAGAAACTAGAAACTGGAATCTGTAACTGTTATTCTTGAAGACGCGGCACCTGCACATAACACCCTGAGCGGTGTTCTGCCACCGCATCTGCCTGACAATGCTAGACTCCCCATATGTTTTTGAAGAAAAACCATCTGCTGATAATAATTTTATTTCATCCTGAATAGTTTCATTTTGGGCTGATGAGAAAAAAAGCCACATTAAAACACCTTCATAACTCCGGTAGCAAACACATTTCCGAAGGTAGGTTTATAAATAGATATGCTTTTGTATGCACACTGGAAATATAAAATCATGGGGCTAGTGGAGGCTTCAATTAAACTGAAGCCCCAGTACAAACTTACCTGATCTTTAAAGCCCCGTTTGAATACACTCACAATCAATACAGATCTCCTTTTTTTCTAGTTGCATAGTCAGGCAGAACACCAAGTACATTTTACTTATCTTAGTCCCATCCTTCATCAGAAGCTTCGCGATTTCATTCAGAAGCAGCCTTCCCTAAACACACTGAATATGCACAGGAACAGTAATGGAAGGGATCTAAGTTAAACCCTACAGACGCACCAAGAAAATAGCAACATCAACACCAAAAAGCAGTAAATCCTTAGGAGAGGTGCTTTTCTTACCCACGTTTCCCAAGGCTGCCCCCTCTCCCACATAAAATGATCCAGTTATGAAAGAGGAGCTTACCTGAGCTGATCATACTGTGCATTCTCTGCTGAGCCAAGAGCTGCTCTCGTCCAGCCACCCCATCTGAGGAAAAACACGAGTCACTCTCGTAAATTGTTTGCAGCATACTCCAATCACTCGCACTTCAGCTACATAAAAGATTCATTGCTGCTCAGTGCAGGGGCCCCAGGAGCTACCCTGGTTGGTCCCTCCTCTCCTCCGGAGGAGAAGCAGCAGACAGCAGCTTCCACAGTGATTTCCTTTCTGTTGAGATGGACATAAGCTTTTTAAAAAGACTTGGACACTTCCTATGTTACCAACCTGTGTACAAAGCAGAAAGGACCGAGTGGATGCTATGGCTCTCTGGAGTTTAGGTTATCCCGGAAACTAAAAGCAGGTGGGAAATAGGAATGTGCTTCGGGGTTATTGCTTTGTCAGAATAAGTAGAAAAATATTAACTCTACCCAGGAGAAACAGAAACCAATTAAACCTGGCTGTTTAGTTCCTCAGGCTGCTAGAGTTTCGGTGTAAGAACCCTGAGTCCTGCAAGTGGCTTCAGCTGGTGCCTTCCTATCTGCTAGTGTGTGTCTCTTCCCCCTTTCTGGTCTCTCAGCTCAAGTTGGCTAAAGCTAGTGATAACCATTTGCATATGAATCAACAAAGGCATGGCCCACAGGCACAGAAATAGAACAATGGTCGGCCTGAGCCAAAAATAGGTCAAGCATGGCCGAGTGATTGGAGCCTGCATTAATGCATTTAAAAATACCCCAGCAAACCCAGCTGTCCAGCTTCTATCTTTCAAACCATAATTCTCTATTGCAGGGCCTTAAAAACAATTAACTCTTTCCTCCCTCCAAGTTTGCTTTACACACTGTGTTTCCAATACTGGCGATTTGCTTCCAAAGAAAGGAAAGGGAAAAAATTAATCATAATTCTAACAGGGCAAATGCACATACATTTCATTTCATTTTATTTTTGTAGTATGTGTTTTTGGAAGAGAAAGGAGAGAAGTGCAGAGCTCTGTATTGGTTCTAAAATAATACTGGAAGCTTTTGCTCATAATGTGGTTTCTGCCTCACCCACGCACAGCAATCCTGGTGTTCTATTTTTGTTGCCTGTTTCTCTGGCTACACTGCAGTTGGCTGTAGCACTAGAAGCTTTTCTGCCTTCTAGTTTCAAGACTGACAGGAGATTTAGTAGAGGTAGTTTCAAAAACAAGCACACTCTAGAATAAAATATGAAGGACTGGCTTGATTTGTTATTTGCTATTTACATAAGGCAATTGGGCCTATCAGTTTTATTGCATCCAGTTTCTATTATACCTAAATCTAAAACAAAACAAAATAAAACAGAGCTTAGACCTGAAAAAATTTCCCTCTATTTTAGCCTCTTAGACTAAATTCAATTTACCTGCAAAAGGAAAAGGAAGTATTGGAGATTTCTTATGGAATGTGCAGAATTACTGAAAATATGCACCTGTAGATCAATCAATAACTATGGTTGGTCCCCAGCTATTAGTGTTGTACATTCATCTCAATTGGTTGCCTGAAATACAGACCTCACTTTTATATAGAAAAATCATTTCTATTAGTTATCATTTCTATTTCTATTAGGTCCCAGAGCAATACACATTGTAGAATTCACCTGTAAAGTAAATGAACAATAGTACATAGTACTCGAATTTCTGTTGTCTCTGGTGAACCCTTATAATATCATTTCTATATGAGAAATACATTCGGCATCACAAATTGGTTCCTAACATTCAGTTACTCCCAACAGCAAACCCAAAAGTGATAATCCACCGGTCATAGTAGCTATTCTTCCCTTTTCTAAACCAGATCAGCAAGGAAAAAGTAATTTCTAAGGCATTAGTAGCAACAGAGAAGGAAAGGGAAAAAGCAAAGTGTTTCAAGGTTCCCAGTACAATCAGATGGAGGAGGGATCTCAGTTAATCACAGAGAGAGAGAGGAGAGAGAGAGAGAGAGAGAGAGAGAGAGAGAGAGAGAGAGAGAGAGAGAGAGAGAGAGAGAGAGAGTGTGTGTGTGTGTGTGTGTGTGTGTGTGTGGAGGGAAAGGGAACGCAGGGATGTAGAGTGGAAAGGAGGAAATATGTTCCATCATTAGGTAGATAACCCACTGCTTAAGGAAATGGCACTGAACCTTCCTCTTTCCATAGATTAACTCCTACTTCTTGTGAAATTGTATTTGGACAGACAAATCACAAGATTTTTAGAAAGATGTTATTCCAAAGCACACTTGACTTAAGCTAAACAGAAAATTTTATGTTCTTGTCAGTGGCAAAAACTATTTAATTCCATCTGATATTACAAGTAAACTTCCACTCAATTAACAAATTGGTGTATAAGCTTCAAGGGATGGAAATACTATGGACCTGCAATTTACTCAAGGATGACATAACAGACCATAGCATTTTAGACCTAGGGGGAAATTTAGAGATTGTCTACAGTGGTGTTCAGACTCTCTCCACCCCCCTCAGGGTGCCTGAGTGCCTGGAAGCTGGCTCACAGTGCTCTGGGAGAAGAGGTTCTTCTCCCAACCTGAGCAGTCTCACTTTTATCTATTTATATTTGGGTATTTAAGATTTTTTTGGAAGAATGACTTCTTACATTAAGAAAAAATAATTGAAATCCACTCATCTAGTACAAACAATCTCCCTATTTTACACATGAAGAATGCAGAGACTTGCTGAAGGTTGCAAAGGTTGTTTGGAGTAATGATTAAAGAAACTAGCTTAGTCTCTAACAGGTGATTCCTAACCGAGTACATTTAGCTCTCGCATTCTTAACTCCTGCTATCTTGTTCCTTACTAAGTGATGCAAGTAATTATCTGAAATACTCAGAATAAATTTTAGTACTATCTACTGATGAAAAATGGATCCACTGTCTAATTCCTTTAGAGTGGTTCTGAACAGAATATATGATAGTCTGTTCACATATCACAAAACTAGTGATAAACACGTAAGAGGGATCACAAGATCCCAGTACTGACATAGTATACCTCTTTTGTTGTTTTAAGTTTAAATTATATCCTCAAACCACAATTTACAAAAACAGCCTCCAAGCTTTTATAATCATAAAAAATAAAATAAAACTCCAAAAGAGTGAGTTAGTAATTATCCTGTTTCTCAGAGTTTCCAGGAAAGGGCATGCCACATAAAATAGTATAAGTAATGTGTCCTCTTCATTTTGGCCACATTATTTAACTTAAGATTTATTTACATTTTATCCCTGCATTCTTTCAGTGTTTTTTTTTTCCATTAGCACTCTTGTCTCTCAACTCTTATAATGAAAACTTAGTTTATAGTGAAAAGACATTGGACACATCATAAAATAGATAGCACTTGTTTCTGGGAGGAGAAATAATCATCATTAAAACCACTACCAGTATACTAATTACCATTGTTCCATTCTTCAAGAACTTCAATATTAAGAATATTGACTTAATTCTTTTCACTTTTTTACTGACATCATTGTAACAATGTCAGTAAAGAAATGTGATTAGGTTTCTTTTTGGAGCTTATATAAAACCAATTTTACTGACTTGGAAAAAAAGGATAAAATTTTATATTCTAAAAACCATAACAAGTAAGTACAAATGTCAGGCTAGATAGGCAGTTTAAAAAAATCTCAGTGTAGAAAATATTAATTCAATTAATAAACATTTTGGAAATTGATCTAAATATTATATTTTACATTCATTCAAATAAAAAGTAAAAAATAACAATTCAAAATAAAAGGTTCCCAATTTAAAAGGTAATAGGAATACACATCTAATCCTAATGCAAAATGTCATTCCTATTCTTTTTATTTAGGTATGGGGCAAATCAAAAAAACAGTATAAAGAAATCAATATGGAATCAAAATATTTCCAGACACACTCTCAGATCCCCTAACTCACAATGACATTTGCTCAAATCAGTCTTAGTTGATGACTGAAGACTATTGGAAAAGCTAACTAAGGCAGTGTAACCTGATTTATTCCACTGCAGTAATATAAAATCTGCTCATCTGTAATCAAGCACAGTAGTACCAAATCCTATGAATCTGTAATATAGACAGAGGAAGATATAAAACTCTTTGCTGAAATACTGAGTTGTGCTTTATAGGAAAGCAACAAGTTACTCACCAATATCTGAAACACCTCTACTCACTCCCTTACTCATGTTACATCTTCTCTTATCCTCACAATTCTCAAACTATTGTCACAGAAATAAAGTTATATACATTTGCCTGCAGACAATAGACTTGGTTTCCATGGATCCCCAGAGAACAGGAAAATGAGAGGCAAGGTACAGGGTACTAATTTCTATTTTGAACTAAGTCAATTAATTATCAGAATTTTCTACCCTATTAAATGGTGCACACTCAATATACAAGTGATTTCTTTCCACTAAAACAACCTAGTTGGTTACTAAATGGTCTTCAGATAAGGAAATCTTGCCAAGACCCAAGAGAAAAACATCAGTAATAAAATTTTGGGGAAATTGATTTATATGCAAACAAAACAACATCAACAAAAACTTTAGAATCATTGGCCTTGATTACATTGAAAATAATTTCTTCCTTAACTTTTCCCTTCAAATAGGATGTGTTGATCCATGTTTATTTAGGGGATTACAGAGGTCACCTGGGAACTTGTTAGAAATGTAATTCCTTGGGCCCTACTCCATAACTACTAAATCAGAATCTCTGGTGGGGAATCTGTATTTTATAAGACTTTTAAGTTTCTCTGATGACCAGTACTAGCCAGTGTGGGGAAAATGGAACTTTCTGACCAGGATTCCCACCTGGCCTTAATACACCCTTTGTGTATATAATAAGAGCATGTTTGCATATTTATGGGATGTTTACCAGTGGCAGAACCTCTGATCAGTTACTGGATTGCCAGTCCAGTGGGGCAGTGAAGAGGAAGTACCCATTCTCTCCTCCCCTCTGCTCCCAGTACGTAATTGGGAGGGTGCCCACCAGTCACAGAGGACCCATCACAGAGTTCCACCCCATGTGTGGGAACAGAGCCAAGCAGACTGGGGTCCAAGCAGGGAGAGCAAGAGGGAGAGAGCAAGA